ACTCCTGTCTCACATTTTCATGAAGATTTTTCTAGATTATAGCAGCATGAATCTGAAACGCTGCCTCTACATGTTTTGTCCTGACTCTTGGCACCAGCAGGAGTCCAGTCCCTGTGCTCTACAGAGTCAGAGTTGGTTCAAATGGCACTAACATGAGAGAGATGTACTTTGGTCAGGTGCGAGGCCATGGAGAGACTTGTAACAAGCAGAGCTGTTTTAAAGTCTATTCTCTGAGCCACAGGAAGCCAGTGCAGAGACCTGAGAACTGGACTAATGTGGTCGTACTTCCTGGTTCTAGTCAGGACTCGAGCTGCTGCGTTTTGAATGTACTGCATCCGTTTTACAGCCTGTTTGGATAAAAATCTCCAAGTCTGCTTTAGACACTATGTTTTTAATTTGGCAATGTTTTTCAGATGGTATAAAGCTGCTGATATTATTCAGTTAAGTTTTATCTCTAGGTTTCTGACCTGCTTTAAAGGTTTTAGGGAGAAAGGGACTTGTGATAAATAACGGTTTCTCTTTGATTCTGAGGTCCAAATACAATCATTTCAGTTGTTTTCGTTTAGCTGAAGGAAGTTGTTTTGCATCCACTCACTGGATACAGTGAAGGAGTGAGTCCACGGGTCCATGTTCTCCTGCAGTCAGTGAGACATACAGTAGATCTGAGTGTTGTCTACGTAATTGTGATAGGACACAGTGTTAGTGCGTATTAATCGACCAAATGGCATGTAAATATTGAACAGAAGAGGCCCCAGGATTGATCCCTTGTGTACTACAGCAGTTATCTTAAAGGACATTATAAGGTTGTTGATTCACCAACAACAGAGAATCAAATAGTTCGAACACAGAAATAATAATAAACTCAGAATACATTGGTCCATAGGGAGCAGGAGGACCAATGTCAGAATCAGAATCATTTTCAGAATCAGAATCATTTTTATTGCCACGTAAGTAACAGGAGGTCACAGACTAGGAAATTGCTTTGGCTCAGTGCAACAGTCAAAAAGAGATAATAAAAATAAGAATAAAAACACTTCTAAAGAATAAATTTAAAGTAACAATGTCCATAATGTTACTAAATGTGTATAACTTTTAAGACACTTCTTTTTTTCTTTTTTCTTTTTTTACTAATTAGTATTCCAGTTCAGTTTGTATTCTGAGTCAGACATGTTCCACCATCAGAAGGGTATTAAATCTAACATAAAAGATTTCCTCCAGATGAATGGAAGTCCCAACATCACTTTTTACACAGGCCCTCTTGTTTAACACTACAAAGTCTCATTGATGTAATGGGTAGATTCTCAAATACACATTTATAATGCAAGGGATTCAATGCTTTTTCATCCACTATTCCTTTGATTACCCTGGGCACAAGGTACTGAAGATAGGTGCAGCGCCTGTATTTAGGTCAGTGGTATTTTCCTAGAGCTTGTCTAATTGGATTCCTGTTTGTGCAGAGCCTTTGTTCCTGCCATAACTGATAGATAAAACATTTTACTGATTTTCATTGCAATTTAAGTAAATTTAGGGTCGGCCCACGTTTGATTTGTGCTTGTAGGATTAAACCAGACCGTCTATAGTACTGTGTGTACTGTGTGTACTACCGTTTTAGTATCTTACAGAGTTGATATTGACCTTTTGAAATGTATTTGGATTATGGATTTTGAAACTAAAATACATTCAAAAAACACACAAAAAATCCATGCACTAGTTCCTTGCTTTGGTTCTATCACTAGTTGTTTCTTGGTGGGGAAAAATTGACTCTGTTCAGGATCACAATATTTTCCTTTTGTGTTTTCTCTGAGTTTACAACTGAACTTTATGTTCCTCTAATATGTCTGCTTTTTGTGACTCTAGTCTTTTGTATTTGACTAATTGAAGTGATGTGCTGGGAACGCACCATTCATGTGAGAGGTCGTCTGAGAATAAAAATGTCCTGTAATAAGGTCCTGTGTCCTGAATGTTCAAGGATAACGTTTTATTGCACTTAATTTTTTCCAATTTTGTGCATGCCGTTGAATAATATGATGGCCGTTATGTATCGGAGAATCAAATCGCAATACTTGCCATATCACTATATGTTTCGAATTGCAATAATATTGAATTGTGGCCCAAATATTGCAATACTATGGAATCTTCAACTGTTGGCCAAGTCCCACCCCTGGTTGTTACATACATGTATATTGGGCCTTTACCATATCTTTAGATCGGCTTTTCCAGTGAAAGAGACAGGACCAGCCCTCACTCAGCTCTCATCATGTTAATGTAACGTGTTTTTTAATAAGTTGAAGACATCATTTTGTGGTCTGATTTGTTTACATTTTATCAAACAAGTCTCTTTCTGAATAAAAGAATCCTTGAACTGGATCCGTCTGATTTGTGCTGTTGTACTATAGTTCTTAGAGTCCTGAATGGAGTTCTGAAAGGAGCTGCGGACGTGGTAAATGTGTGTAGTTTTGTTGCTGCTTCAGTGCTGAAATATAATGAGCATTAAATCTTCACTTTTATCATATCTATAATCAGACCCTCTATTCTCCAGGCAGTCGTTACAAGCAGAAGAAAGGCCTCGAAAGTCATGTCGCAAGGGGCCACTTTTGTCTCTGGACTTTAATATTTCAGATGAGCAGAAAGTTGCAGCAATTAATCTTAGAGGGATTGAAGTGACAGATTTGCAGGAGACATGAAAAAGAGAAACCATTCATATTAATGTTCTCTTCATTTACGAATCTTTAGAGACTGCACAGGTCATCTTGGGATAACTTCAGTCCAACTGCACTCTATGGTATAGATCAGTGATCATGTGACTCTTTCTGCTTCCCTGCCTGAACCTTGCAAATTGGCGTTATCAATACATTTAATACATACAAAAAACATGTTAACATTTTGCATTGTACTTAACATGTTTACAATCCTTTCCAAAGTCACGCACCAAAAGAGTAAATAAAAACCGCCACCACAACTGTTGGTAAATCTCTCTAGAAATAAAAATGCAGAAAGCAGGGACTAATGCTGTCATGTTGTCAAAAATAATGGCGGGGGAACATTCAGAGATTTGCATTGGGACAAGGTCTATCCCAGAGCATGAAATACAGGCAGCTTCAGTTGTAACACAATTTATCACCATAGCTTTGTTGCAGTGTATTACCATTGCATCTGTTTAATTCTGCGCACTACTTGTTAAAACCATTTTGACGCACTCAAATGTATACGCTTATTATAAACATCTTAGTGCTGGCTTTTGTTTCAATTCACTGCATGGACTAAACTACTACTTTGGCGTTTCCCTCGCCTCACACCAAAAGGCCCTCACACACATGTGCAGTTTTTCACTTTGGGGATGTTTGTTCAGTTTCATGCCCAGCAAAGTTTGTTTGTATTGTTGGCTTCTGGTCCACCTTAATTCCCAATACCCAGCAATTAATAAGCAACACAATCCCACTACGAGACACTAATTACACAAACCGGCTTTAGATTATTCTGTTCTGCCAACATATATATACATATAAGTTGGCTATATGCCGCTGGCTATTTCAGGGAAACAATTCAGACGTTCAGATTTAGATTCATTTAATTTGCCATTTGCAGTAAAAAACACATTGGAATACATGTGCAAAAGTCCCCAGTGTGCACCAGACAAATATATAAATAAAACAAGGTTAAAAGTACAGAAATAAACTAAACAAAAATGCAGGGAACAATTGACACTGTGAAATTGAACGAAGCAGTTCGATCTCAACCAACGGTATCTTCTGCCAGAGGGAAGAAGCTGGAACATGGTTTTTCCAGATTAGTTTACGCACATCTAAACCACTTTTTCTTATTCAAATAAGGAAAACATTCATACAAGTTTTTCCCTCTTAATATGAAGGTCATGAACAGGTGAGAAACAGGGTTAGGAGTATTGTTTGACCCAGCTCTCCATGGATCATATGCAGAGTCCTATGTGAGCGTTTTGAGTCTCAGTCCCAGCCATATATTTTCTTTGAGTTGAAGGCATCATCACAGCTGTAGATTTGCAGTGTATATGTTATTTAGGGCTGACATGATTCATAGTTTTGAGTGCACGCTTGTTTTACACAAATGAGATCTTTGTGCGTGCCTCTGTGCTAATCAACTTATAGTAGAATTATTGAATTAAGCTAACGGCAATCTAGTTGTGTTGGCTATTTCCTCAGTTCTATGGGAGCTCTCCTAAACTCCTCTTGCGCCCTGGCTGACACACACCGAAGTCTGTGTTCCTGTAGTGACGCCTCTTTGGCTTTTGCCGGCTGCCACAGCCTGTCCAGCCCAGCTCCTGAGTGAAGCTCGAGGGCTGGTTGGATGTGTCTGGTGACAGTGTGGGGGAATTTTCAATTTCCAAATGTTTTTGTACTGGTATTTCAAGAGATGATAGAAGTAGGATATATGGTAATGACAGCTAACTCAGAATAGAATAGTGACTTTTGGCGCATATGAATCTGGAACATTTTATGCAAATCATATGTCATAATTCAAGCATAGATGGTCATTCAATACAATTTGATTTATTTTTGTATAGCCCTGAATCACAACAGTAGTTATCTCAGAGGACTTTACACAACTGTTGAATTCACAAACACCGATCAAAGAATCAAACCGTTCAAACACAAGAAGCAAAACAGAAAACACATTCATCATGCACTGATTTGCAGCCTACAACATGACATACAGTAAGCAAATCACACTTCTTTTTACGATTTTACGAGCAAAATACTAACTTCTTTCGGACTGTGCTGAACATTTATTATTGATATCAAGTCTAAGGCTGCAGTCTTATTGCGGCGGGCCTCTGGGATGCTGCACTTCTCCTGCTTTTACCGTCTTTCACATTTCTTTCTCATTTGAAATATGCCGTCATATTGAGTCCCCATGAGGCGCTGGTGGAATTGTCTTGTTTGAATTGTTAATTAAAAGATCAATTTCTTGTAGCTAAAGTATCAGCAACTCTTGGGTTTCACATTGCACTTTTTCATGTTTTTTAGAACGCAGTTTGGAGAAGAGAATACCCTTTGAAAACCTTACCAAACCTCAACGCTATAAGACCGCTGTACCTCTACTCATGAAAGGAAAGGAGCGAAGACCTCTGAGCCAACTTCAAATCAAGGTATGTAAGAATATGCAAAGAATAGAGATGGTTATTTGCACAACCGTTTTTCAAAGCTCACAATTGGAGTTTATTATTTTATGAGGATTCCCAATATCTGTTACAACAGATGCTGTCTTGTGTAGTTGCTTGTCAGGTAAAAGATGCCATTTTGATTCACCCAAAAAGTTGTTAATACGTAGTCGTGGACACTGGAAAAATTATTTTTTGAGATATATATAGATATATATATCCACAAAATAAAATTGTAATGGTTACTTAACTCACTGACTGCCAGGCATTTTCAGATTTGAGAAGTGCATTCTGCCAGCAATTTCAGGTGATTTGACCCAACTTTGAAGTGCCACAGAATATTCATTTTTTAGACGATGTAAACACCAAGGGCACCAAATTAAAGATTCACCTCTCTGCTTTACTCTGAAAAAAACAGTTTGTTTCTACCTCTTACGGTTCTTGCGTTATTCGCCATAGAACAAATCATACTTTCACCCATAACACCTGGTCTGAGCAAGAAAACAGAGAAAACGAGCTGTATGTAAACAGGAACATATCAAGCAGAAAAGAGACTTTTAGATGCATTTTTGCTGCTTTAGTGACAACTAAAAACATCTTCACACTTGTTCCATTACAAAAATTATAAAAACATGACTCTGAAATAATACTTTTGATGGCAAATTGTTGGAAATTTATTCACAGATAGAAAATTTTACTTTCTTCTATACCATCAACCAAAACGTCAAACAACAACAACACAAAGATCCATAAAACTATAGATGTATAAAATAGAATGAAGCATGTGAATTTGAGTGTGTGTGTGTGTGTGAATGTCAGTGTGCGAGTGAGTGAGTGTCTGTGTGTGTGAATGTCAGTGTGCGAGTGAGTGTCTGTGTGCGTGAGTGAGTGAGTGAGTGCGTGTGAGTGTTTGTGAGTGTGTCCGATAAATCATGATCAGGTTTGCTGAACGAATCCGAGGCATCAGTAACAACAGCAGCTGATACGCTGCGAGAGGCGGAAGGTGTGTCTCTGCTCGGGGCTCTTGCTCCGCGCAAATATGGCTGCAGATACGGACCTCCACCCGGGTCTCCGCTCTCTCCCCTCTTGACCTCACCCACTGATCCGCGAGTCAATCCCTGAAGCAGTGTATACTGCTTATAACTATTCTTTTTCGCCATCACTCTTGCTATACTATCGCTAAACTAGATCGCTGATCCGTCTCAATGCTACGCTATCATCGCTCTGCTACAGCAGCACGCTCTCCAAAGACCCCACACTCCTCCTCCTCTCCACTGACTTATGACCTCTCCTGTGGTGCAATACTGCATCCTACTGGTGGTGATTTATCATTACAGGTACATTTGCACTATATATCAGTGTTGTGGGTCATTCACAAGGTGCGCCAGACATTACTGCAGCCTCCCGTGTAATAACACGAAAAAGTCGTCTAAGTCGTCTTGGGCAGTGAGCGTCACTATACAATAGAACGACTTTTGTCGTCATGGGCAGTGAATGAGTTAATTGCCATATGGTCTTTGCACTCTCAACTTTACCAAGAGATGAACTGTGCCATTGGGCAGTCCCTGTGGAAAAAACCAACCAATCACACAACACAAAGAGAGGAAAAATCACAACATTTGAGTCAGTGTGTTGGTGTAGCAGAAGTGTAGCAGCAGTGTGGCGTTGTAGCAGCAGTGTGGCTTGTAGCAGCAGTGTGGCGTTGTAGCAGCAGTGTGGCGTTGTAGCAGCAGTGTGGCGGTGTAGCAGCAGTGTGGCGTTGTAGCAGCAGTGTGGCGGTGTAGCAGCAGTGTGGCGGTGTAGCAGCAGTGTGGCGGTGTAGCAGCAGTGTGGCGGTGTAGCAGCAGTGTGGCGGTGTAGCAGCAGTGTGGCGTTGTAGCAGCAGTGTGGCGGTGTAGCAGCAGTGTGGCGGTGTAGCAGCAGTGTGGCGGTGTAGCAGCAGTGTAGCAGCAGTGTGGCGGTGTAGCAGTAGGTCTGATGCAACCACGTACACGTCCCAGTTGCCTTCTCCCACAGAGCAGTAAACTATTTAGCTGCAATACTTCCTTGCCTCTCCCTCCTTGCTTTACACGTTCCCTTCTGTTTGCTGAACACGTTGGGCCTGTGGGTGCTACATGCTGTGAACAATTTGTGAACCTCATCAGCCTTTCATCAGTCACAGCAAACTTGCAGCAGCAGAAACAGCTCGGTGACAGTCAACCATTTTTAGCAGATTCCAAAACAAATCAACTATTTAACATGACACATTTGAGCAGATGAGATGCTCAACTTGAACAAACTAAACTAACCACAAAATGTATCATCTGTAGCCATCAGACATGACATTATTGTATGGAATGAAAGTGGATGTTGTCACCGTATTCAAATGCATGCCAATATTTAGAAGTAAAGGTAAAGTGTGTGTGTGTGTGTGTGTGTGTGTGTGCGTGTGCGCCTGTGCATCAAACCCTCAAACAGATTGGGGTTTGCAGCACAGTCCTAGTCTGCTCCAGGTCACGTCTCCGTATGACCATAAACTCCAAACACAGGTGTCTCTCCCGCTGTTATCGTCTGTGTTTACTCCCATCTCTGAAGCATGATTCAATCCCAAAATACACCTTTCTTGTGGAAGGAAGTAAACTGGCAACTTTCCCCGACGAGAGCAGGGAATGCACTTCAGACACTGCCTACTGCTTCTGATTGATCAATTAGTCAATCAGTTTGTTTTAACATGGATCTGAATGTGAGCTGTCTCTGCTGCAATCAAATCATCACCAACACTGTTCATGAAGTACAACTTACACAAGTTGGGACGATTCTAGCCTGGCCTTAGCCATCCGTACACTCCGCTCAATCATCATCATTTCACTGCATGCAACGTCTGGGTCTGGTCCCTGGGTTAGCGATTACAATCGGTTGAATTTCGACCGACCAACCAGCGAGCAGGAGAAGTGGGTTAGCGGAAGGAGAGTGTTGTATTTATGTATTTATGTGTGGGTGACATCAAGAGTCTGCGTCGAACGGGCAGGTTGTAGTTTGGCAATGGCGAAAAATGCGATAGTAAAGTAATCCGGTCTGGCTCTATCAAGAAATTGAAGCCAGAGCAATAGGAATGTTTAGCAAATGTAATCGCTAGAAGAAATTGTGGCGCTACTCTCCACGGGCTCCGTTAGCGACAAAGGAGATGGCTAGGCTAAATGCTAACAACAGACTCGGGCGCATTACATACGTCACGGTAAACTCAGATCCAATTGTTTCAATCTGCAAAAGGAGTTAACCCCTCCTATCTGTAAACTGAGCTCAATGGAGCACCTCCAGACCTTAGTACGAAATGTCATTTGTACTATGGTGTGGTACGACCAGGCTAGGACGATTCCACTGGAGCATAAACTCCCCAAGCATTAACTATTTTTCCTGAGGTGAAGATTTCAGCATCTGTAAGTTCAAGGTTTCCCTCCTGCCTCATGCTTCTCTGCCAAAGAAGGTGAACTATGCTTCGAACCTCAGATAGTAGGCTTAGGTAGTTCCTAATGCTGACTTTTTTTCTTTGTATGTTGCCAGATTGTACCCGGGCCCTTCCTAAATTGAACTTATTGCAGAAGCTCCTTTGATTGTCTTATCGGCCAAGGCGTTGCACTGCAATCTGTAATGGTCTGTGGATAACGGCTGTCTCCAGCTGAGCTGAAACAGAAGGTTATCAAACTGTTGTAAAGTGTGTCTGAGTTATTACTTCCACACAGCACTGACCTGCGATAGGACGGTTCTGCAGACCACAGAGGTGTCGCCGAGGACGGATGGCACGCTGATGCTGAATATCAATCATTACAACATAAATCTATTTCAGGGAGCATGTCTGACATTCTGTTCTTTCTATTACAAGATATAATTCCACTCTTTATTTCTTATACTGTATAAAGTGGGATTTCTGAAAGCACTGATGCAGCAAGAGAATCAAATCAAATCGACCCGAAGAAAGAAGACATTTTATTTATATAGTACGTTTTGTTCAGGACTTGACAAAGACAGTGTCACAAAACGAAAGACAAAGAGATCAGGGCACTGCCTGAAATATGAAATTAAAGTGAGCTCAGGGTCACATTAAATATCAACATAAATTGTACAAACCCTTAATTTACATTTTTTCTATAAGACATAGTGTTATTGTGTGCCAATGGCACCACAGGCGGCTCTCTCTGGATCTGAGCAGGAATTAATACTAGGGCCCTGGATCATCTCTGTGTCGGAAAAAGCAGATCTGTGTAAACTGTTCGTAAATGGCTTTAGACATACGGCCAATGGCATCATGAGACCTCATCATTTTCAACATAGTTTTAGTTTGAGTTTGTTGGGCTGCTTTATTTCTTTGACAATACAATTCCAGAACACACTCTTGAAAATCCTTTAGCAACAGAATTCTGTCAAGCAGCAGGAGAATGCTCTCTCTTCCTGTTCCGTGGTTCACTATTGTACCATGCCACATCCTGCTCCATTTGTCAGAATTACATGAAACTTCCCAGTGATGCTGTCCCACTGTCCGGATGGCTCAGATCCGCTCTCAACTCCAAAAATAAATAAAAAATACCACTTTTTCCATGTCTTTCTACAGGGCTACCCTTTGTCACTGCAGCTGCTGGTGGAGGTGGAAGGGAGAGAGCTGAGCCTGTCCCTGGTGAAGAATGAGTGAGTTTTCCTCTCTACAGCCCTGTGTTTCTGTTCTTGAACACCTTTTTAAGGTGGAGGAGGTTATGGTTTAGAAAGCGTCTCACAATTGCACCTGTACTACAATGTTCATAATACAAATCAATTACTTTCGAACATGTGAAATTCAATGAAAATACAGATGATCATCTATTCCACTTCTCTCTCTTGACAGGCTGCTTTTCTGCAGATTCAGGTTTTCTCTCCACGTTAGTGCTGAATTCAAAAACAGAAAGAAGTAACAAGTGATGATAGGAATGAATACATTTGAAGAGCTTACAGTTAAATATTTTCCTGTTATCGGGATGTATTATATTTCAGATCATGTGACTACTTTTAAACTCTAAAGGCTCTATCAGTTCTTTCCAGTTACGCATGTAAATTGGTCTGTTCATTTCAAGTGTTTCAAGCGTGTTTGTACTCCCATGTGTTTCAAATGTCACCATGTCTGTCATGAGAGGAACGATAGGAGGCGATAGTGAGGATATTCAACAGCACATCCTTCATGGGTGTTTCCCACTTACAAAACACCTACAAACTTTACAGAGGAATTAGAATGTGTGTGACTTGTATGACTACGAAGTTTTGTGAATAAAGATAATTTGAATTGAAGCCTTGCAGATAGATAGATAGATAGATAGATACTTTATTGATCCCCTGTAGAAGAAATTCAGGTGTCCAGTAGCAGCAAAATTTAAATTGATCATTCTGTATACGTCCGCATCTGGTACGTCGCATCTGGTGCGTGGAGTAAGAATGTGAAGCATTTGTTACTAATTTTGGTTTATCATTAATATTTTCCAGTTCACATTAAACTGAATCCAAACAACAACATCAACAGTAACAACAATTGTAAAAAAAACTATTTTCCAAATGTGTTTAGCCCCATTTAACATATCATCAAAGAAACGTGGGAAAAATAAACATTACTAATATATATTTATAGGCAGGTGACTTCAAAACATTTATTAAACTTCACTTGCTCTGGACATAGACGTTTGCTTCCCTCCAGTCGAGAGAACACAGCTACATTTCCCAGGCGGAGTGAGTGATGGCATTGCTGATTCAGGTCTTGTTCCAGCCAATGTTTCTTATTCAGTGGGAGTGGAGATATAATATTTTATCCTGCTGCTTTGAGATACAGATATTGACAATGCCTTGATGGATCTAGTCCAGTACTTGACGGACTCCCAGTGCCGGTAACACTATGAAAAACAAACACATAAACCTATTGCTGATTGGGTGTACAAACTTGTGTGGTTACAGTTGCATACCACTGCGTTCTTGTATGTGTTCTTTAGATCTAGGGTGAGGATTGGGATCTGGCTTTCATATGCAAGTTTGGCCACAAAACTCACTTTATATAGTAATAATGGGGACTGGCCAATGCCTCATACGTGAGTAATTCCATTGTTTTCCTGAGATGACCGCGGTCAGTTGGGCTCCTGCGTCAGTTTCAGGCCTGGTCACCATCCACTGCCCTCATCCGGCCTCTTCCCGTCAGCACAGATGTGTCCTCTGATACGGGTCAGTGCTTCTGAACAGGTGCCCGATGACCTCAAGTGTTGGAGCCTTTTGTTTGGTGCGTGACTATTTATTACAGAAAGACAGGGAGGGGAAAAGGAAACTTTCATCAAATGCCAATTCTTATCTGCAATAAAATAAAATAGTATTTGAATAATAATGTGGCAGATTATCTAATCATAGAACATTAGCCTGCACTTCACTTAGAATGTTTATTTTGGAGTGTTTTATTTGGTTTGTAAAAACTGGTTCTAGGTCAGAAAAAAATGGCAAGCCAAGACTGTATTTTTAATAACCCCATACTTTCCTCTCTTTGCTCATAGAGTAATCAGAAGAAAGTTTAAGCTTCTTTGAAATATTTTGTTTGAGTAGTACAGACTTGTCTGTGTCTTTTAATGTATGTTTTGTGTTAAAATACAAATAATGCATGTTTTACAATTGACTGAGCTGAAGTTGACTTTGGCTGCATTAGTTTTTGAGCAGTGTGAAAACTCAGTTTCATAGAGTCGTAGATGTTAAAAACTTTGTTATTTACCTTTATGTGCATATTGTTTTTGTGGTGAGTGACTATAATCGGAAACATCGATATAACTCAATCTAAACGTTGCTAATTAGGATTATGTCCCATGATACAAACCAAACCACCCAAATCATTGCCAAACATATTCCTCTCTTGGACCCTGAAATATTATATTTATGAGAAAATGGAACCTAGAATATAGTGACATGTGGTGTAGTGCATGGATGCAAATAAAATTGGTTTGTGTGTGAAAGTTAAACGGGCATAAATATATTGGACATCAAGGACAGCAGCAGCAGCATAGGCGAGCTCTGTTAAACCTGACGGGAGCACAGGGAGAACAAGTCTGCCTTTTATGATGCAGGGCAGGTCCGAGAGCAGGCACCAGTAGAGCCACCAACTCGGGCAAAAGAGGACACTCACACAGCAAACCATCTACAAATGGTTACTGTAATAAATGTTATCCTTTGCAAGCCATATATTGGAGAGTTCCTGATCGCTCTGAGCCTCTTTGGTTCTCTTGGCACCACTACAGACCTCACCTGTTCCAAATCCAGTGTGAAATGATTGCTCTCTTTACAGTCTATGGGATAAACAAGCCACCTGGGCTATTTAATAAAGTGTTGTTTGAGAGAAACTTGGCCGTGTCCCACCAAAAAGTTGGCATTTAAGGCTCAGACATGGAAGTGAAGAGAACCTTGGGTGATTAACATGGAAGAAAATAGCCTGGAGCCATATTTATCTTAAACTATCATTCAATATGATAATGCAGCGTGATGATATAGTCGTTATCCTTCTCTTGACGGTGTCGCCAATCTGTGCTTTTCTCTTGATTCCACCATCATCTTAATGAGAGGACATTCACGCAAGCAAGGCACTTGTTCATGATTGTCCTTAGTCAAATCCAGCTGCCGGGAAAAAATATGAACAAAAGACTCAATGGCCATAAGGAAGAGAATATGTTTTTTGTTTGCAAGCTTTTTCTTCTTTATTGCTTTGTGTTTTATTGTGTTTAGTTTGATTTTTTTCTTATTGTGGCAATAAAGTGGACTTTGCCATAATCAAAGTCTACTTCATTTACAATATGGTGCAAATAGAAAACAAATAATTCCCAAAGTAACAGCAAAACGTCAATTAAACAGGTCTGCCCATTTATGTTATCGGACACTATGTAACCTTTTTCCTCTGAATAAATGCAAACAAATCTTAAAAATCTAGCATAATTTGGAACACATCAGGTAAATATTTCCATCGCGACCTGAAAAATAATGCACCTTCACCAGAAAAGAGCTGGAAAGTCTTGGTGCAGAGATTTGTGTGTTTCCACATCAGCACCAGCTTGTAACTTTAATCCACTTAATTTGTGAGAAGTGTTTCAAGATGTCTTCCATTACTCTCTCCTGTTCCACTCTTCCTATAGGACTCAGGGAATACCGTGTCATGTAGAATGTTTTCTCCAGTGCTGTATGCTCTGCAGCGTCTCAGACCTGCTGCTCTGTTGTAGCTCTGATCAATTGCTCTGCTGCAGGTTCACATGATTAACGACTGCTCTTTGGGACATTCCACATTAGTCTTAATTAAAGGCTCAATGGAACTGTCGAGGGGAACCAGTATGCCTCTATACCAGAGCCTATGTGCAATTTGAGATGTCTACCTCAGGCCAGTAATGTACGTGTTTGTAGAGAGCAGTTTTGGAATAACTATTTACACATTTGAGGAGCATAAGCCTGAGCCCATTCAACGAATGAGGAGACTTGTCCTTCCATGGTTTCTTCTTCTCATCATTATCACTCATGTTATTTCTCCACCAAAATAGATACATTTTTTACCTCTAGACACATAAATGTGTCTATCCACTGAGGGTATCCAAGTTTTAACAGTGTTGCCTAGAAGTGGTCGGCTTGGAGGAGGCAAACAAGTTTGCACCAATGATAGAACTAATCAAGGGTTACAATTGAATTAGATACATTTATGATGATCAAATTTTGCTATCAAAAGTTCTAGAAACATTCTTTTTCTCTTGATAGCACAGCAGTTAGCGCTTGTGCTTCACAGTTAGAAGATCCTGTGTTTGATTCTAGATAGGGTCTTCCTGTGTAGAGTTTGCATGTTCTCTCTGTGTGCGTAGACAATTAACATGCATATCTATTTTAGTAACCGCGGTTGTGAAGTGTCCTTCAGAATAATTTTCAGAGACTCGCTGCACAAACATCTGTTGTTGTGCATGAAAAGGTAGATGAATTCTACCTATTTATCTAATCTTTAAAAATAAATCCCCATTTCTTCCTTCTCCTCAAACAGAAGTCACCGCTAATTAGCTGCTTAGTTTAGCTCTCAACTGCTGCCTGTGTTATCAAGTGAGAACATTTCCTTTCATTCTTCAGTGACAAGAATAAAAAGGAGGAAAAATATTTTGTAATACATGGCCACGTTCAAACAAAAACATTCTGTTTGGGATAAAATCCCCATAGCAACATCCTTTGTATGTGGGAAAGATGCACTTCCCTCCAATAGCACGAATGACAAAGAGGTTAGCCTTAAATGCATGATACCATTAATTCCTTCATCTCCCTTCATATAATGCACATATACAGTATGTGTCTGAATGCAAACCTGGTGTGATTGCCAATCCTCATCTAACATGTCATTAACATTAAAAAACAAATGTAAAAGAAAAGTTAAAAACTTCTCCTTCTGCCTCTGCATGTGTCTTTAAAGGGTTCCTCGCTATTTTGTTGAGCTCTCCTATATTCTTCCGTACACATGTTTTCTGCTATATCTGCTATGATAAAGATTGAGTTTATGCCAAAGCATATGTACCTGGGCTAAGGTACTATTCCTTTGCCAAGGCATTTTGTTTGTTTTTTTCTACAAGGTTAGATACAAAGCATGCAGGCAGCAACAAGCTCTGAGATACCTTATGTCATGTTTCATTAGT